CTCTCTCTCTCTCTCTCTCTCTCTCTCTCTCTCTCTCTCTTCGAGAAACGAAATGGGAATGCATGTTCCTGCGAAAGCGGGAAGATGCATTCCCGTTTCGTTTTTCGAAACGATAGCAAGAAGATGAACCATTCGTTTTTTTTATTTCTTTGTTTTCTTTTGTTTTTTTTTTTGCCCGTTTTTTTCGTTGTGTACGTTGCACGTTCGGGATGGTTGCCGGTAGTCCGAGCCTCGGCACGGATCGGCGTACCGGTCGGCCGAGGCTCGGACTTGATAGCTGGGCCAGGTACTGGTGGTTTAACTGGCGTTCTGCCATGTCATGGAACATATCTTTCTTTTCACAACCTACCACTGCTCCTAAGGCTATACAGGGGACCCCTGCAAGCATAGCTTTTTACCTCTCTTCGGTGAAGGGAGGTTACCTCTCTCGTTCGTTTGAGAGGGGTAAGGGCATGTTTGCCCCTTGCCCTAGCGTTTTAGGGTGCAGGGTTGGGGCCGCCGGTGGGGGTCCGGCTAACACAAGGACCGAGCATTTTTCCGGTAACTGTGCCTCCCTATTCATCTTCCCCCTAACACAAGGACCAAGCATTTTGTCGGTAATTGTGCCTCCCTATTCATCTTCCCCCCCCCAACATCGAGTAACAGTAGTGTCTACTAAAGCCAACACTCTCCCACACACCACACTCAGACCAAGCATTTTGTCGGTAACTGTGCCTCCCTATTCATCTTCCCCCACCCGCCATCGAGTAACAGTAGTGTTTAAAGCCAACACTCTCCCACACACCACACTCAACACGCTCCCACACGCACTCACACCCGTGTTGGTTGAAGACCTTACTGATACCGACTGGGAGGATCCAGCTGACTATCTCAGTTGGTTGGCACCAAGAGTGCTATAGGCGGCCATGGGGATTGAACCCACAACCTCCTGAGTGTCACTTGCGTGCCTAACCAATTGAGCTAGATACCAGTCAGTTTAGCCTCATGGGCCTTGTTCTTTTCCTTTTGTTTTTACGAGAAACAGAGCTTATGGACAACATAAACTGTTGAAATGCATCAGTGCGAGACCAGACAGAGTGCCTTGCTCCACTACTCCAGACTCGCGAATATTTGTGAGTGCATCCTTGCTCCACTTAGGGCCTCTCTGCACTAGTCTTGAAAGGTGCAAAACGAGAGTGAATCTTCCGCTAGAACATGGAAAGATATAGCGACATGATTTTTGTCTTTTGTGCATTTCAAGAGTAGTGTAGCGAGGCCCTTACTCTCGAAGTGGACTCTTGAAAATCCCCTTTGAGAGTTGTCAGACGGCGCGCATGAAGATTACTCTCAAGGTGGACTCTTGAAAATCCCCTTCGAGAGTTGTCAGACAGCACGCATGAAGAGAACTCGCGGATCCTCGAAAGTGCAGAGCCAGTAACTCGCTGTTTTTCTAGGGTGCTCCATCCTACCCTTGGTTCTCCCTCCTTTTTTGAGAGTCGACCTCGAGTTGAGGTGGACAAAGGAGTAGTTTACGTTGTCAAGCGCATCAGTCTCGCAAGGGGATCCTCCCGGCAGCATCACGTAGGATTTTGCAGGACTTTTTTGCAAGGGAGCTTTCGCCGCTCCGACCGAGTGCACCAGCCATACCTCTCGCGAACCCTTACGACAGGATAAAGGTCGCGCGAGGAACAACTTACCTCTGCCCAAGGGGTTGTCCTCACCCTTAGGTAGGCGTATCTCCGTCGAGCTATCGAACCACCTGCGAGAGTTGCTCGAGTGCAATCGCAGAGGTGGTCCAACCGAGGGTGTTTCTCATTCGCTGTAGCAAAGGGGGTACGAGCGGTTGAATACCTTAATCGAATTCGTATGTGAACCGACGCTCTGGGGCTGATCTCCCAAGTGCAGCTCTGCGCCGGTCGACTAGGACGGTTCATCTAACCACGCGATATATTTCACAGAATATAATCAAACTTCATACGTGAATCGTGCCTAGTCTCTTTTTCACATCCGAACCATAACCTTTTGGTGACAAGACACGCGGCTGTTGCATGTGAGACTCTGAATAAATATCGCAGCGACGTAGGTCTTGTCATGTCAATTAGTCGTGCACGAATACGCTAGCAGTCACAACGATGGTATGCTATATAGTACTCATGACCATCTGGTCCTCAATGATTTAGAGGATCGCTTCCTACACTCAAGTATGGACTGGCACGCGTCTTGAGGGGTTAATCTCTTGATGTTGGACAATCTAAAGTGTGTTTGCGATACCCACCCTGTGTGGATGAGTGGTAGGCAAACCTTGACCTTTTGTGGCAGTCAAACGCCTTTGACCCTGCAAATGAGGCTCCATCTTCAGAGACCTTGGACAAGGTTAAGGGTTTTTACTTTGACATCCGTTATGGACCTCGACATTCAATCATAAAATTTTAACAAGCGGATTGAAAAAAAAAAAAAAAAGTCTCATTTCCTTTCATTCGAATCTCACAAAATCCTCATGCACAGTCAAAGTAGATCGCGAGAATGCACAAAATATAAATATAAAGAGGGTATTGGACACGAGGCGATCACTTTCACAACCACAGTGTTACTTCTTTTAAAAAATATAAATAGTCACAGATAAAGGTCAAATCCTGATTCCAAAATTCTAAAAAATACATATCATGACACACAGATTCAACATCGATAGACCACACACTACACGGGGTTAACTTCAACCACTCTCTGCACTCACACCCCTTGCTTTATTCACATAAGCCCCAACCTTTCTCCAACCTTCCAAAGAAAAACACTCACTTCTTTTTAAATTGTCATTTAATAAAAGTTCGGGTAAAAACCCAAAGAAACAATTCAACCCACAGATCTTGAGGTAAAGCCCCAACCTTTGTCCAATGAGTTTGAAGGCTGATATTATTATCTGCGCAATTTCATATAAGCGGGTGTTGCACAGCGTGCAGCCCTACCGACATACGCCAAGGTCACACCTTGGCCTACGGGCTAGATCAACGGTTGTCGAACACCAACACATGTCACACGAATAGGGTTGGTGCCACTCATAGCCGCCGCACACATTATTTGTCACGTTAAAGTCGCTCCCTTATCACTTCAGTGGGACAAAAACTCAACTTTGACTAAGCTGAACTTTGTTCGTGTCTGCCCTCTTTTTGACAAAAAACGAACTCTCACAGGCAAGCGAATGCAACAAAATACTCTATTGTACCACGTGCTACGCGGATCCTAAGGTTCCTTTAGTCACAAAAAAACAAAAATAAATATTCATAAGAACTTACAGCACCGACAGTCAGACCCGATGTCGGCCATATCAATTTTCCTCCGCACGAGCGTACGTGTCACAGTTAAATGTACCGAAAAAAAAAAAAAAAAAAAAAAAATCATAAATTTAATCGAAAACAAAAGCTGGTTTACAAATGTATCGGTTACATAACATCAACAAGAAAAATCACGCATGCCTCAAACTATGTGCCCACACATTCCCTATTTTTTCGCCGAACGCACGGTCAGTTACAAGAACAAATTTTGTCGCAGTTCGAGCGACGCACCCTATTTCAAAGTCAAACCTAGTTTTTGTCATTTGCAAAAACCATGACAGATACCCTTGTAAGGGTATTCGCCCCGACAATAAGTCATGTAGTTGTGTTCACAGCCCGTCAGGGTTGTGCTTTATGCCCTTAAACATTCAACGTCAATTCAACTTTCAACATCAGTGGTTGTCTGGGAG